ACCAGTAACTCCTAAATTCCATCTAACGAATATTCTTAGGTAGATGGAAGAGGGATATTTCGAAGGATCGCGAGATTCGTGTCCGAGAACGCTAATGACGATCTTTCGGACTGGTTTCTGGAATTCTGCACACGATCTGCACAGATCCGTCCGTCCTAGCATGCGAGCATGCTATGCAAGACATTGCTCACGCTCTTGATTTACGTTGGAATCCAAGCAAGAGAGCTGGACATAGAGATACATCTCAACGATGAAATATTAGATTGTCCCAAAAGTTCTTTTCGTTATTTGCATCGTAGTTCGAAAAATATATAGTCCTATTTGCTTTTCATTGATATTAACACGTTTATACACGCAACACCATATCTCTTTCATGGTGAACATTTATTAATTTTATCGTATTTAACGAAGACGATTACGCGTGCGCATTAAAAAGTATCGTATTTCTTTATTTTTTCCTAAATATTTTTTGTAAAATAAATTAATTAATTAATGTCACAAAATTATTCCTTTATAATTAGAATCGATAATCAAATTTGATTTCTCCATAAGAAAAAAAAAATTGGTTATTTCAATGATGTCATCTTTAAATGTCATCTTTATATATATATATATATTTTTTTTCACGCATCTAAGTAAAAATAATTTTGAAAAAATAAGTACTCTATCTTATTATTCTAGAAAAATGAATCTGTAAAAACACGACAGGCTAATATATTCCATATTTTTTATGATGATGACGAAAACAGTGTAAATAGTTAGGACGATGTTCCAACATGAAATAAGCGCGTCTGTTGCAGAAGTGAGCGTGAAGGATAGTGTTTTTGGAGTTGCATATGCATCGAAACACTTTGCTCGAACAATAAATTGAATCTCTTGTGTCGAGTGTTGGAAGACGAGCAAACGAAATTTGTAATCGAATATTATGATAGGGATAGAAAGACGTGACATTAAGGGAAAAGAATGAAAAATAAGAGCAAAATTCTTATGATTTTTATGATATTCATTGAACTTTTATTAAGATATTTGGAGTTTGATATCTATCAAAAAAAAGATCAGAAGAAAATAACTAAGAAATTGTTCTTTCTTGCAATTCATTTTTTCACGTTTTATAAATATTTGTTTATAATTAAATTTAATATGACGAATAATCGAGATTTCAACATATTAATCAAGATCTCACTATATACAGAATCATGGAAATATTTTGTGAAAAATAGCAATATGCAAATCAATTTTTTATTAATATTTTATTAATATTAAAAACATAAGAAGAAATTTCTAATATTTTCTACAATGATATTTGTTAAAATTTCAACAAATTTTTCAATAAAATTTCATTTGAAAATTATTTTCATTGATTTCATAAACTTATAATAATATAATATTTTCAGTAAGTAATGTTCCTTATATACAAAAATAATTTTGGATGAAAAAATTATATTGTAACTTATATTTAAATTATATTGTAAATTATATTATAAACGTAATATAATATTACAGCAAAAATATCGTTTAAAAGATTAATTAATTAATTAATATATATATTTAAAAGAAAATAAAGCATCAAAATTTCACAGCATTTCAAAAATTAATTTTACAAAAGTAACTTTTGTGTACATAAATTTAAATGATTAGGAACAAGCATTTTTCAGTATTAAAAAATAATTATACAATTTTAATTTATTCGTTCCATGCTCCTCAGATTTTTCCCTAAAAATCTTCCAATAGATATATGCCTATCTCCTTCTACACCTTTCTTATGGAAATTAGCAATTAAAGTTAAATCATAGTTCTCTAACGAAGATATTTGAAAGGAAATTAAAAATTAATGAAAATATTCATAGAAAATTATATTGACGATTAATTTTTTCCTTTGAATTTAAACTTTTTGATTATTAAATTAGAATTACGTATTTATTTTTCTTATTAATAATTTATTATCAAAAATTTTAAAAGAGGGACAAGAGAAAAGAAAATTAAAAATTCTATTTAAAGAACATTTTTCGAATTTAAGATCAAATTTCATTTTTAACCTATACTTTCTCTAATTTTCTAATTTTATAGAAAAATTTATTTATTTTCTAATATTAATTTCTCTAAAATATAAGCTTATTAATTTTTAAATTTACATATTATATTTGCTTTGCTTTTATTTCATTATAATTTTTTTTTTATCTATCTAATTCTAATTACCTACATGAAAATAAATTTTTATTCATATCACGATTAACAATATTAATAATACCATTAGCATTGATATATCTGAATCGATTTGATATCACAATTGTAACATCAATACAGACTTTACTGCGTAAACGTGGAGCAGAGTGACAAATGTGTGTTTTTGTGCAACATTATGCAACGTCTCTCTTTGATTTATCTTTACAACCTTGTCTCTCGTTAAATCACATTCTTGCGGAAAATCCATCGTTATGTTACATCCAATTACGCAATTGTGTGAATTAATCGATTTTCCTTATTCGTTAAATAATTAGAAATTAAATTAATAAATAATATATGTTTTAATAAATTTACATTTACATGTATATGTAAGTGATTAAAAAAAAAAAAACTCGACATTTGACTCCTTACGCGTATATTATCCGCTTATTACAATTAATCTGATTATCATATTCAATAATGCACGAATTAAATATGAGAAACAAGATTATATGTTATATAAGATAAAATAATCGTATAAAGAATTATGTAATAATATATTTAACAACTTGTAAAATAAAGAAAAAATATTTTTTAATGATTGTAACGACTCTTTATGTATGAATTAACGAAGAAAAAGAAAAAAAAAAGGAGAAAAATTGTTACATAATAATAACTGTATGGACAATTACATAATATTTACATAATAGGAAAATATTATTGAGAAGATTCAAAATAATGATATGAAATGTCATACACTTTAAAAAATATTTATTGGATTATTATTTTATTTTACTTTATTACTTTACTTCCACATTTTTTTTTTTTTTTTTATTTTAATTCATTAAGTTATCACAGCTAAGACAAAATGTTGGTTACATAACTAACAGGATGTAGTCAAAAAACTAGGGTAACTGTCAATTGCTAATGATGAGTTTAATATCTTGTAGGCGTTTTATGAACAGTGTGTATATTCATTAGATAAATGAATAGAGTGTTTAATAAAATTAAGAATTAAAAAGTTGTGGTGAAACATAGGTTAAAAGAAAATCACAAAGAAATATATAGATGTCATGAATAAGTCCTGTTTATAATAGAATCTCCATTATTCGAATACTTTAATATCCGAACTGTACTATCTCTATTTCAATAAAGTAATCATACACATTAGAATAGTGGAAATAAAATTTAATTTGCAATTGATGTTGGACAAAACTTAAATTTAAATTATTCTATAGATTGTGACACTAGCTCATCCAAAACCTTTTTAAAAACTAAATTTTAAATAAATTTAACAACTAGAAAGATAGTGAAAAAAAAAGATAAGAAAATAGCAATGATAAAATAAGAATTCTATTTATAATATTTTTTTTAAAATACATATAATACAAATAAAAAGAAAGAAAGAAATTTAAATCAATTTCATTGTTCAATTTCAAGTATAATTAAAAGTATTTGAAAAGTATTTGAATTATAATTTATAAGAAAAATTGAATTAATATTTTGATTTGTTTGAGTTCAAGAATTTTTAAATATATTACAAATATATTATCATTAAAATAACAATTTTATCACTATGTGTATATGTATTTATATAAAAATGATCATAAAATATAGCATAAAATTAGCAAAAAGATAATATTTAAAAAAATAAACTCTTTACAAAATAATATTTGAAAATAAAAAATTATTTTTTAAATGTACAGTATTAATCGAAAGAGGTATTTATCGAATCAAATGAATTGTTTTAAAAAATTTTCATCAAAAATATTCTTTTTTACTTTCGATTTCTAAAGAATTCGAATATTTTTATAACAACGTTATTTCTCTTTTATTTTACTTCAAATATTTAAACAATCAAATATCAAATAAATTTATATCAAATAAAAAATGTTTAATATCTATTATAATATTTTTGAAAAATTGATTCTAAAGAACAAATACAAATGTTGATATATAAAAATATAAATTGAAGTTTATTGAGTTAACAAATAATTAAAATTTACATTATATGAACTTCGAGACAGAGTGACGAAGACAATGATTTCATTCTGTCTTCCTCCAACTTTAACGGAAAACTGAACTGTTTATAACTTAATAAATAAGTTTCAACCGATATTTTTGTATATCAAATTTCGTGTTTGTTTTGGCCTGTAGAGTCTACCCTCCAAAGATGTTCTATGAATATACATGTTATAGGATATTTTCACGTGTATAATGTTAATATATTCGTGAAAAACTTTTGGAAGGTCGATTCTAAAGGCCAAAACAAACACAAAAGTTGATCTGCAAAAATGTCGGTTAACGCTTATTTATAAAGTTACGAGCAATTGATGTTTGCGTTGAATGGAACGAGACAGAGCGAGAGCGAGATCCGTTGATATGACGAAGACATACGAATTATAACTTAAATATTTTCTCTTTCTTCCAGGATCGAGCTTTCATAGATGCCCTACGAATACATTAATCTTTTACAAGTATTCTCTCAAGCTTAAGAAGCAACTTAGAAGCTCAAATGAAAGATATATTTCTACATGAATCGAAAAAAAAAGAATAACCATTTTTATAAAAATTTTGTTACTAATGAAATATATATTAAAATTTCGTTCAACTTGATTTAATTTCATTTAATTCATTTTACACATATATATAATATTTGATGTAAAACATGCATAAAATATTACAATTTCTAGATATGAAATGTAGAAATCAAAATTATATCGATCGATTTCGAATACTTTTGAGATTCTACTAATTCGCGTTTCAGGGAAAGTGTTACAAGTTGAATAGAATCAAATATTAAATAATTATTAATTGATAACGATAATTTTGCTTACCTTGCCTTGCATAATCAGACGAATGGTCAGAGTGACCGAGGGGTCATCGTTCAAAACTGGTTTCGAATCCATACTGTCCATAACGGAGTCACAGATTCCTGTGGTTCAGAGAGAGAGAGAAAGAGAGATAGATAGAGAGAGAAAGATCTTCTTGAGATTTGAAGGGGGAGGGGAAGGATAAGAGGCAGGATAAGGTGGGCAGGGGAAAGGTTAGGCGAGTGATTTTAGTTGGAGGGGTTTGTGGGATGTGCTTTTCAATCGCTCCCAGGTGTGTTCAGTCCTTGCACTGTAATCAAACAATATGCACAAAAATTATTCGATCGTTAATTGTTGAGATAAGGAAGGGAAATTTTCTACGTCGATTTTCGAAATTTTGTTGAAATTTTGTTCAACTTTCGATTTGTGACAATATTTAAATAATTTGTGATTGTGAAGTGTGAATCGATAGAAGATGATGAAGATGATGAAGGTATAAAGTTTGGAATCTTATATTGAATAAAAGAAACTTGAATTTTTATATATTTGACATAATTTTATAATTGCTGTGCCAGGTTGATATCGATTAATATTGTATACATTTATAATATATTTTGTTATATTACAATCTGAAAAGTGATTTTTAGCATTCGATGCTTTTCTGCAATTGCAATGAATTATAATTTTTATTTTTCGCAATCAAAGGAGAGTTAATAGAGAGTTAGAAAATTCTTCTGTTAAAGAAGAATCTTTTATTAAATTAAATTACAATTCTGAATTTTGATAAATTCTCGATTGACAATAATTTATCGCACGATTGATGCGTTTATCAATTTAATAATATTTCTTGCAAAAAAAAAAAAAAAACAAATAGAATTCATTACTTTGATATAGTTATTAGGAAAAAAAGAAGAAGAAAAGAATCGAATAAACGTGGCCAATAATCGATCGAGTCTATTATACTTTTATATTACAAAATATTGTTCGAGGTTACATACGTATTTACTTTATTGCTTTCTGATTGCGTTCATCCACGAGGCAATAACTATCAAAGCAACTGTTTTTAAATCCGTCTTGTTGAATATGTATACCGATAGAAAAGGTACAAAGAGGGAGAAATTTATATAACCACAAAAGAAACGAGGAATCAGATGTAAAGATTTTTTCCAATTATTCAAATAGCACTGGAGGAGAAGTAGTGTCACTGTGTGCCTGGCTCCTCTACTATCCCATTATCTTTGTTTATCTGAATGCAAACATTAATTCAACTGCATATCGAAGTATATAAAGTAATCATGCAATAAACCGCCGGGTACTTAAAAAATAATTTGACGTTTCTACGATTCTCTTTGTATAATTGGTAAAAATTTACAAACGATTGTGCAACGATTATGTGTCTTCTTTATAAAAAATATTTATTTGTTGAATATCGAGAAATTGTATTCATCCCCTCGCCTCCTTATTATTTATAACTTTATTTTTTTTTTTTTAAGAAAATATTATAGTATAGACTTGGTTGAGAATCACAAGTCAAGATTAAATTAAATATGAATTTCTCAAAATTACTGTGATTTTCAATATAATTATAATATTGTAAGTTCGTATACGATTTCAATTCGTTCAAAAAATGAGTTTTGTTGAAACATAAACTTTTTACCAATCAGAATTCATTAATATTAATTTTGATAAATATCAATATTAACCTACGAACTTAGAATCAAAATCATTAATCAATTCTGACTGGTGAAATTTATTATTCTTGCGATTAATATTGAACTATCGATTAACGTTGCTGTCAAAATTGGCGAATTCGATCGTGTCACTAACACTATATCGTCTACTAACATTCTTGTCCAAATTAGTATCGGTGAATTCGATCGTTATACTTGCAATTAATTAATATTGTCGTCGGTTAGCCCTTGTCCGTCAAAATTAGCAATTGACCAATCACGATTGGCGAATTCGGTCATAATTCTTGCGATTAATATTGTCGTCGGTTAATATTGTCATCGGCTATCATTGCTGCCCGAATTAGTGTTGGTGAATTCAATCATTGTTCTTGCAATTAATACTGAATATTGGTTATTAGACTGCTGTCGATCAAGATTGATGTTGATGGATTCGGTCATTATTCAATTAATATTGTTGTCTATTAGTATCGATTAAAATTGGTGTTGGCGAAGTTTATCTCATTCATCAAGAGACTCCAAAAAATGTATTCAAGCTGATTTTCTATTTTTCTATTATACGTATTTTGTTAATATATGCTAAAAAATATGCAAAAAATAAAGAAATTGATAATCGATTTTTAAAAAATTTCATTGATTAAAAATGACTACTAGATAATATAGAGCAGAATTCTATGTGAATTTTATTTACATGAAATTTTATTATGTGTCTGAATTTTAGTTGAACTCTTATCGTTTTAAAGTTTTGGAGTTTACTATATAACTGAAATAATTTGATTTGAATTATTGAAATAAAAATGTATTTTTGTGCAAAGAAAAAAAATGTATTTTATGTGTATTTTGAAATTAATATTGAAAATTTTAAAAGTTGAAAAATTTGTTAATTGAGATAAGAAAAACTATAAAATGTACAAGAATATATATATTCAATATTGAAAATAAATAAAATTAAATATTTTTAATAAAAACGACAAAGCCATATTAAAGAAATAAATTATATTTCTTTGTACATTATGATTAGAATCGAACTTCAAAGTGAAATAAGAAATAATAATATACTTGATTATTTATATATACGATAATATATCATGATTTTCCAGCATTAAAGATTTTTAAATTATAGATTATAACAAATGCGTCATTCAATTAATTAATTATTTATTCAATAATATATCACGTGTTATGGAATATTATGATCATTAATGAATATTATGAATATTGACACTTAATCATAAGTTATATAAGATATACAATAAAATTTTTCTATAATCAAAGCTTTACATTTATACAAAAATACTTCTGATCGATGCAAACATAACTATAAAACTAACATTAAAATCTTTCATCATATTTTCTTAATCAAGATAAGATAAACAATTTCAAGATAACTAATCCCTTGTATTTTGGTTGTTAAAATTATTTTTAAAAACAAGTATGGCTAAGATAATTCTGCATCTATGATATCATAGATGAAAGATCAGATTTGAATGAAATTTACAATTAATAATTAATAAATATTAATATTTCAATCAATATCGTGTTTTTTATTTGATCAAGTGAATATTTTGAGACAAGATAAATAATTTTTAAGGAAAAATAATAAATTAAAGAATCGATTATTTCAGGAGATAATGTTTATTTTTAGTTGAAAATTTAATCATGAAATAATTAAATTCGGAATAAATATTAAAAAATAAATATAGAAAACATATAGAAAAGTATAGAAAACATATAGAAAATTTCTTTCATAAGAAACTTTTTCCCCAAGTTATTATAATTAATTTGAATCGACACAGCGAACCTTGCTAATTAAAATTTATACAGTAGACACTTTCATAAACGAATTTCACGAGGAATACCAGTTATTCAGATTAACTAATTAAATTTAAACTTTTGTTCAATATAATAATATCGGTTGATGTACGTTTTGTCACAAAAGGATGTGGCTACGTTAAAATATATTTCGTACGTTTTGTAAAAAAAAATTTTATATCGATAAAGAGAAATAAATTTCAAATTTATTTTTAATATGGTTTAATAATGATTTGAAAGTAAAATGGATAAAAAATTGCACAAAAAATTCGATAAAAAAAATATTAAGTTTTTCTTTATGAGAAGTATAATGGTAATATATTATTACTAGAACCGTAAACTAGCACAATGATATCATTAGTAATACATTATATTGTTATCAAATTATTATACTATTAATAATTTTTTTGTAAAATTTTCAAATTAAAAAAATGTTTACCTAACAAAATCATTAGAATTAGAAAAGGAAAGAAAGTAAGATAAAAATAAAAATAATTTCAATCAATTAATATAGTGATTCAAAGAGAAATTATATATCCAAATAAACTAACACATAATTGTTTAAAAATAATATTTACTTAAATAAAAATATACCATTTGAATCTGAAGTATACATCATCATCTGAAGCATACGTACATATTTAATAATTTTTTACAATTTAAAAATTAACATTGAATACACGTTTTACTGTAAAACATGATAATAGTTTTTTTAATATTTATTATTATTATATTATAACATGTTAAATAATATTTGTAAATAAAAATGATATATTATACATTTAAAAAGTCATTGTCCGAAAAACAATATTTAAACATTGGAAAAAAAATTTCTGAGAAACTATGACAAACAGAGACATAAAACAATATAATTCCATTGATTCTGCGCCGACAAGGGTATCCATAACAGACGAAGAACAAACATATTTTAGCTGGAACGAGCATTCCAAGCCTCTCAGAAATAAAGGAAACAGAATTGCCGGACAAATCTTACATGATTTCAACGACTTGACAAATCAAGGAGACCAAGAGCATCTCTCTCTCCAAACATATTTCCAAATTTTTTTCAATAGTTTTCCTAAATTATCATCTGAATTCCTTGAATTTTTATGAAAATCGTACAGAATTCCAATGATCAGATAATAATTTTGAATATTGAAATAAACATAATCATATATAATATGATATATATATATAATATCAAAATTGAGTAAAAGATATTAAATATTAGAAAATTTAAATATTTCCATAAGCAAATAATATTTAAATTCAAGTGGATAAATACTATTTATTATTTACATACAATTCGATGTAAATAAAATATAAGCATTGAAGAAAATTATGTATGATATTATATATTCATAGAATACCTTTGGAGGACCGATTCTAAAAGTCAAAATAAATACAAAAATATCAGTTAAAGTTTATTTATTAGAATTATAAGAAATTTGCGTTATATGAAAAGAGATAGATCTGCATCTTGTTTAATGCAAACGGAAATGTTTAAACCATATTAAAATCAATGTAAAAAATATTATTAAATATTTTTCAAAAATAATGTAAATAATATTTAAATAATATTTAATAAAAATTTGAACTTTTTAAATATATTCAATTATCCTGTTTGAAATTCTGAAATTTAAATTGAAATTTAAAAAAAAAAAAAAAAAA